CCAGGGAAAGCATCTGGGCCTGTTCCCCACTTAAGAAGACAGAAATTTAAGTTACAAATTCAACTTCTAAAACAGTTACGGAGTTACTCAAATTATGTATTTCATTTTAAGTGTATTTTTGGACTTCACACACTAAAAAAAGGTAAGTCCTAAGACGGGAAATTTCTAGTAACAATTCAATTTGCTCATGAGAACTCAGAGAAATCTCCAGAAATGGCACATTAGACTCCTTTCCTGAAAGCAGGATAAAGCTGGGATCAGAAACAATAAAACTCGCTCTTCTCCCCTACGTTAACAGAAATTAGTGTGGTGTTATCTCCAAGACATGAATGGAAGTCTCTGGCCTGAGAGTCAGCTGGGCACAATGTAGGACAAAAGTACAATGCTGAAAGCAGGGATTAAATCCAAATCATTGTGTCTTAAGACCTCGACTCTCTGCCCCACTTGGTTCTTGCATGTTGGAACCAAAAGAAACTTTTCTAAGAAACCAGGGTATCGAGAACTCAAACACCCAGCAGTGACAGCAAAGACAGGGACCAGTACACTCCTACCCAGTTAAGCTCAAAGCTCCATTACTTAAATACAAAGCTCACCAGAAACCCTAGCGAAGGTTCTAAGACAAAAACACAGTGACCAGTAACTAAACAAAAACCATTTGGACAACATTGAGAAAAACAAGAAGAAAACTTCTGCTCAGAAATCTATTCATATCCTCAGAGATACAGCAGAATCAGGGAATTAAGGCATTTAAAAAAAATTTATTGGGGAGCCAGCGAGATAGTTCAGCAGACCTGCTTCGGCAAGTTTAGGCAAGCACAGGGACCAAGGTTCAATTCCTGGCACCATACACCACTCCAGTCCCACTCAAGGGTGGGCTGAGCCAGCCACAGCATCCAGGCATAGTAGCATACACCTGTAATCCCAGCACTGGGGAGGCTGAAAACAGGAGACTCACCATGCAGCCACGCTGCTTAGTGAGACCTGTAACAACAAAATACATTTAAAAAGAAAAATTCATGGAAACATTATCTCAGAAAAAATATAGATACATATGTATATTCTATACATATATATTTATATATGTATATATATTATATATATATTCTATGTTGAAAATACTTTGTAAGATTCTTGGAAAATAAGGATGAATGAACAACTAGATCTAATATATGAATGGTAGTTTTGACAACAAAAGAAGAATCTAAGAAAAATCATGCAGTGAGTAATTCAAGACTGAAGGCAATGAATCTTCATAGTGGATGAGTTCATGAGGAGCCCAATACAGTGGATGAATACAGACCCACACTAAGACAGGGGAGCTGGAAATTTCAGAACACTCAAGTTGGATGATTGCTCTTTTTCAAAATTAATTTTATTGGTACATTTCATATATACATAATGATAACATTTGTCCCAGGGAATTTATACCTATAAATGATACACCTTGCTGTTGCTTCTTTTCCCATTACCCCTTCTTCTTTCAATCCCTCTTCCCTTCCTTATTTACAAAAGCTTTGTTTCCATTTTTTCTTTCTCCTTGTCCATCCCTCGTTCCCCTTCCCATTTGAACATTTTCTTCTCATTTCCCAATATCCACTATACATTTTGGTCCTTCGTTACCTTCTGATTTCTCACAATGCCATATTTAAATATGTGTAGGGCCAGGGAGATAGCTCAGCAGACTAACCGCCTGCTTTGGCAAGCGGAGGAACCAGGGTTCAATCTCCAGTCCTGCATGCTGCACTGGCCCTGCCCCCCAGGTGCAGTGAGCCACCAACAGACTCTGGGTGGGCATGGTGGTGCAAGCCTGTAATCCCAGTGCTGAGGGAGGCTGAAAACAGGACGATCACAATGAGTCTAAACTACACAGTGAGACCCTGTACCAAATATATAAATGGAAAAAAATGTGTGTGTGTTCCACTTATTTCACTAAGATTATGGTCACAAGGTACATTCCACTTACCTAGAAATGTCTCAAGTTTATTCTTCATGTCAGAGTAGTATTCCATTGTATAAAAAGAGTACCTCTTCTTTATCCATTCATTGGTTGGGCATTTGGGCTGTTTCCAAGTTCTGGCTATTACACACTATGCTGCTGTGGACAAGGATGTGTGTACATTGCTGTGGTGTGAAGTTTTTAATTCTTTCCAAAAGATACCAAGAAGAATAGGTAGGCCAGTTAAAACCTCTAGTTTTAGGTTTTGTTTGTTTGTTTGTTTTTACAGTACCTGGGATTGAACTCAGGACCTTGCAATTGCCAGGAAGGTGCATATGCCTCCTGAGCTATCTCCCCGACCCTTTAGTTTTCCAGGGAATCACCATACTGATTTTCACAGGGGTTGTACTAGTCTAGAATCCCACCAACAGTGGAATTTCCCCATAGCCCCACATTTATTACTGATTGACTTCTCTTTTTTGGTGGGGAGGCTCCTTTTGAGACAGGGTTTCACCATGCAGTTCAGGCTGGCCTTGAACTCATTTTGTAGTCTAGGCTAACCTCAAACTCAAAGTAATCTTCCTGCCTCAGCCTCCCAAGTTCTGGGATTACAAGCGTGTGCCACCACACTCAGCTTCACTGGTTGACTTCTTGATATTAACCATTCTGTTTGGAGTGAGATGGAATATAAGCCTTGTTTTCATTTACATTTCTTGAGTGACCAGTGATGCTGAACATTTTTTCATATGCTTATTTGCTGTTTTTGCTTCTTCATTGAAGAAGTGTCTTCAGAAATGTCTATTCATTTCTGACAACCATTTTGGATTTGATTTTTAAATATAGGAAGGATTTTTTTAAAGTTTTTTATACACCTAGATATTTGTCTGAGGAACAGCTGAAAATTATACACTGTGGCTTGTTTCTTCACTCTGTTAATGGTTTGTTTGTTTGTTTGTTTGTTTTTCTGTGCAAAAGCTTTTTAATGAGATGAGATCCCAGTTGTTGATTCTTTGTGATATTTCCCTTGTGATCTGGGTTTTGTTCATAAAGTCTTTGCCTACACCAATGTCTTCAACAGTTCTCTCTATTCTATCTTCTAGTAGATGTAGTGTTTCTGTTTTAACAATAGATATTTGAACCATTTCAATTTTACTTTAGTTCATGATAAGAGACATAGGTCTAGGCTGAACCTTTGTCAGGGAGAAAGCCAGTTTTCCCTTGGCCCCTTTGCCAAACATAAGGTAGCTGAGTGTGTCTGGAATTGCTCCTGCATCTTCCAATCTGTCCCACTGATTCTTGGGTCTGATTCTTGCCAGTATCATGCTGATTTGTTTTACCACACTAGCTTCCTAGTATAATTTCAAGCCAGGGATTGTGATGCCCCCTGTCTTGCCTTTGTTGCCCAGAACTGCTCTTGCTATTCTTGGTCTCTGGTGTTCCAAATGAATTTTAGGATTGTCTTCTCCATAGCTAGATACAAAGTCAATATTCAGAAATCAACACCTTCCTGTACACAAATAAAAAACTCACTGAGAGAGAAATTAGAAAAAGAACACCTCTTACAACAGAGTTCAAAAAAATTGAGGTACGTAAACATGGCCTTGGGGTCCATATCTGGCCTCTTGTCTCTTCCTCTCTGGCACTATTTTCGTGCTTTGGTTCCTGGCCATCACAAACTCACCAGCTTTGCTCCACCACACCCTTCTTCCTTGATGTTTCTACCTTGAAGCCAGCTGACCTTGGACTGGACTGAGTCCCCCGAAACCGTGAGCCATATTAAACCTCCCCTCCTTTAAATTGTGTCAAGATTTCGGGTCTTAGCAATGGGAAAGATGATGAATACAAGCATGTGGTTAGGTCATGCATTAGTTGGATTCAAGAGTGTTAACTCCTCACCCACACCAAGAAGAAAAAAGGGCTTGGAGCTGGAGACCTGGAGCAAGGGCCTGTGAATGTCCCTGGGTAAAGCTGCCCACCTGGGAGCCCACCTGTCACTGCCTTGCCAGGGAAGAAAAGGGACAAGGGCTCCCATCTCCCCACCTTTGTCTTGCTGAAACTAACCCTGAACTCACTGCCATAGCCATTTCCTGAAGCTTGACCTGGGATGAGGCTTTCCCAGTAAACAGAGATCTTCCTCTCAAAGTCCCACTGGAGAGTTATTCAACTGTCCTACTCTGCACTGCCTCAAGGAAACCCTGGGCTACGTTTGGTCACTGTTGATGCACCATAAACAGCAACCTTGATGGAATAGGAACTACTAACAGAGGAGATGCTTGCTCTCCATGCATTTGCCCTCCATAACTGGAGAATGAGCAGTGATAATTTGCTCGCCTGACAATATCTACCTCTGAAGACGGCTGCCAGGGTCAGTTACCTGGAACCAGGGTGTCAGGTCCCATTATCCTGGGGCTCCACCTTACCCATGAATTGAGGTAAAATCCTTGGCTCAGATTTAAATTGGAAGAAGAGGAGAAGGAGGAGGAAGAAGAGGAGGAGGAGGAGGAGGAGGAGGAGGGAGAAGAAGCAGAAGAAGCAGAAGCAGAAGAGGAAGAGGAGGAGGAAGAGGAAGAAGAGGAAGAGGAAGAGGAAGAAGAGGAGGAGGAGGAGGAGGAGGAGCAAGAGTAGGCTTCTTGCAAACAAATGAACCTTTTAAAATAGGCTTGTATTTACATGATTCGTTTTAGCAAACATCATTTAACATACATTTAGCTATGATGGGAGAACAGATGGCCCATTACTTTCTTATTCAGTAGGCTGCTCAGAGTAAGCAAAGGAGAAACGAAGTAAAATAGCCACTCAAAGGCAGCACTCAGAAGGGAGACATCTTGCCCCAAATCCTGACAACACTGGGCCAAAGCCTAACACACCAGGCTCCTTCCTTCAAAGCCAGTGTTTGGGGCTGGGAGTCCAGTGAGGGTCAAGTAGATGACTTATGGCCCCACCCTTGAACACAGGACCAAATATGGTAACTTGAGGCCAATGTTTAGACATAGCAGGTGCCGTAAGAGTACATTCCAAGGCAAAGCCGAGAGTTCTCTCACCTCCCCTATCCAGTGGTGCTAACCCTCATAGCAGCTAGCTGGGCTACCACTGACCTTCCTGTCAGGCATCTCCGCAGAGAATAGGAAGCACCTCCCCCGCAGGTCCGGGAACAGTCACTCCAGTCGCCCCATGCATCCCAGTTACCATCTCTGTCTTCCTCTGAGCGAGTGTTTCTTGAGGCCTAGATGTGAGGGGAAAGAAACATCACTAAAACACAGCAAGTCATAGGACAAATACTGCATAATACCACTGGCAGGAGATGTCTAAAGTCTTCTAACTCATGGGGGCAAAATATAGAGTGGTGACTGCCAGGGCCTGCAGCAGGAATTGCTAAATGGGGATAGAGATTCAGCCCTACAAAGTGAAAAAGTTGGAGAAATCTGCTGATATATATATATATATATATATATATATATATATATATATATATTTCTCTTTCTTTCTTTCTTTCTTTCTTTCTTTTTCTTTAGTACAGGGTCTCACCACACAGCTTAGATTTGTAGTGATCCTCCTGTATCAGCCTCCCCAGTGCTGGGATTACAAGTGTTAACCACCATGTCCAGTTTTGGTGGCATACCTGGGGTTCTGGGCCAGCACAGCATGTGGTACTGGGGATCAAACCCTGGTCCTTGCGCTTGCCAGGCAGGCGCTTAAACCGTGGAGCTATCTCCCCAGTCCTTGTAATATATTTTTCTTATAGTTAATAATACTCTACTACAGACTTCAAAATTTGTCAAGTTAGATCTCATATCATGTGCTTGTTTTAAAACTCCATCTAGAAAGAAAGGAAAGGAAAATGAGAGCACTTTCCTAATTAAAACAGTATAGAACAGCAATAAGTAATCAGATCTATTGCATTTTAATGAGAATGTAGAAATAGGCACCCCCCAAAAAATCATTGGTAACTTCATAAGACATGTCAAAAGTAATTCCAGACTTACTAGAAACATATTAAAATACTGGAGTCAGAAAATTATAGATCATCAGTCATACAGAGTTAGTATAGGAAAAGGCCGCCCTAGATATGACAAGGGTAGAAACTGAAGGAAAAGACTGGAAGGTTTTATACACAAAAATAGAAAACGTCTGATCTGCCTTTTTATTTACAGAGAAAGAAATCTAGAAATGTGCTCACATAATGTAGCAGTAAAAGGACATGCAGACGGGCCAAAAGGATATGATCCAGTCACCTCTAAGAACAGAGGAGGGGGGACAAGGGCTAATGCTGTTGGGGAGAGACACAAAAAGAGCCCTGAGTGTTGTGTCTCCTCCAACCCTAAGAAAAAGGTCAGAAGCAAATACAACCTAACAGTGAATTGCATAAAGCCAGGGGATCCAATCACCACTTCCAGTCTTGTTACACTCTGAACTTCCATGAGTTTTGGAATTCCTTTATAAAAATATTTTTTATGGCAAAATGCAACCATTAGGCAACAACACACACACAAGCCTATATAATTTTTAATGCAGGTCAGATAAATGTGTATAAGCACAATGAAAGGAGAATTGAAATCTTATAGTGATTACCTCCAGGTGAAAGAGCTTAGAGTGCTCTTACTATTGCATTTTGGTTTTTATTTATCTGTATTTTTGTAGAGTTTAAAAATTTAAGTATATAATACCTTCATCAAAACAAGCCAGCAAATAAACAAATACCACACGCCATTAGCATATAGGAAAATTTAAGTTGCTATCTCCATTAGAACAAGCCAGCAAATAAACAAATCCCACATTCTATTAGCATACAGGAAAGTTCAAGCCACCAAGTTCTTGGCTGGAGAATGGAAAAGTTTACGAAGGAAGCCATGATGTAGAATACGCTGAGGCTGAGATGGAACCAGCCAGGTTTCTTCAAGCCTGTCGACAAATTACGTCATCCACCAAAAATAAATAAATAAATAAATAAATAAATAAATAAGAGGGATCTTAAAAAAGGAGCTTCAAAACTGAAATGAAGAAATAATGACTGGAAGTGAAGAGGTGGTATTCCAACCATTTTCACTCAAATCTCCCCGGTCAGCAGGTCCGATGGCTTCTTGCCAAGCTACCTATTTATAGCACAGTATGAAGCCCTGGTAGAGGCAATATTTCAGGAACAGTCAAGTGTAAGGCAAGGGTAAATATCTGGCGACTGATCAAATCTGTCATCAGGAGCAGGGGCTAATTAAACCCATACTATTTACTGTTCTAATTAGACCACTGTTCAGTTCAATTTTCTACCCTTAAATGTCACCAAACATAACTGTGTCCTACACTCGCATAATATAAACCATAAAGTTTTAATTCATAAGAAATACAATAAGCAGTTTAATACATTCATCTGGATGTTTAGGTTGGGTAAGTCCAAATCTTTAGGTAAATGTTTAAAATACACACAGCTGAAATTGATTTTTCATTTTGTCACTCGATATACTGAAAGGTTGAATGTGAAAAGGTGAAAAACATCATCATATATATTTTTAAATGGAAGTTGAGAGTTCTTTGCAATATTGTTTTAATTTGTTTTTATTCCCACTATCCCACGTGTTCATGTATAGTTAGAATCAGGTTTCTTTCCATAACTTCTCCACCTTTACTTACAAAAACCTTGATTCTAAAATAATTAAAATCAGCATGTTATAAAGTGCAAGCATTTGGTTTCTCTAATTGGACCAGAACAATATTTTCCCTGTAAGAAAAGAGAGAGAAAGTAGAATCTCAAGAGGGCCCCCAAGGTTTTCTCCTCTCCCTGGCCATTCAAATGTTTGGATTATAATGGGAAAATCCAATGCCATTTCCTACCAGCCGGTTCTCCTGCCCTTCAGCCACATTCTTTACCCACAGACTAGCAAAACCATCCCTGGTTTCCACCTGGGGCACCTGTATTCCCTGTGACACCAGCAGCGTGATGACACACACATTCCAAAACAACTGCACTGAGGAGACAGCAGCAGCCCAGGGCCGACTCTGAAAAGCATGTTGGTACCCTTGCTTGGAATGTGCTTGGAGCTGTTCTAGGTCTATCACCACGGATTGCACCCCCAGAAGAGCCTGCTTCAAGCTTTCCCAAGGCCTGCAAGGTCTGGCTGCCTCTCCATGGTGCCTTTTACTCCCTAGCGCCTGCTCTTGCATGACTACACGTGTTCAGGCTTCACACACAGCTGAGTGTGAAATTTTTAACCTTAAAAACAGTGCCCAGAATACAGCCCATTTCTCAGAAGACCGCAGACCACACACTGTCCCTGTAGCCATACTGCTGATGTCACCTAAGTTTCCCTCCAACCTCCGCCCTCCGCCCACCTTCCCTGTCTCTCTCCCTCCATGTTCAGCCACAACATGGGCTGGAGCTCACCATGGAGGCAATATTGCTTAATAGTGAAAAGCATTTAGAAATTGGGTAACTTCCTTAACAATTCTAAATTCCGTCTACCCTCCCTATCAAACTAACATCAACATACATCACAGACATAGAGAAATCATTCCTAAATTGTATTTGGATCCAGAAAAGACCTATAATAGCAAAGGCAATCCTGGGCAACAAAGACAAGGAAGGAGGCATTAAAATTCCTGACTTGAAATTATATTACAAGGCTACTGTGATGAAATCAGCATGGTACTGGCAACAAAATAGACCTGAGGATCAATGGGATAGATCAGAAGATGCTGAAACTCCTACGAACACACTCAGCCACCTTATCTTTGAC